CTCTGGGACGTGATTTGGATTTTTTTTCCTCCCCTCTGTTCTCTGCTTTTCTCCTTCCCTGTTCTACTCTTGGCAAGGTGCACTCACAGTGCTGGGACACCCGGGATGCTCCCAGCCCATGGAGACAGAGGAGAGAGAGGAGCAGTGTGGCTCTGTGGTGTGGCTGTGGGGCCGCCCGTGCCAACCCCACACAGAGACCCCAGGACCTGCTGGCTTGTGGTGCCTGAGGTGCCCCACTGAAGGACCACCCAGTCTCCTCCATATCTCCCCGTGGGAGGGGAGGGTGGGTGGATTCTTCAGTGTTTGTGTCCCTGGGGCTCCAGGCGGATTGCCAAGGTGAGGGAAGGAGGGAGGAGGCCGGGCTGGGAGGGGAACCTGCAGCTGGCAGGGGGTGTTCTCCCGTCTCAGGTTGTTGCTTTTTGGAGGAGTGGGCAGCAGGAATGCTGCTGGGCAGCCCCTGCAGGCCTGTAGCTGCCTGGAGGGAGCCACAGCACCCAGATATCCCAGTGGGAGAGGAGAAGGCCGTGGGTCTGTGTGGTGGCTGCTGCCGTGGCCAGGAGGAAGCTGTGCTTCCCTTGCTGAGCGTGTGGAGACAGGAGGAACTTGAAGCAGCTTCTCTGCAATGAACTTCCCAGTTTGACCACGGTGGGGTTACCCAGTGCCACGTCCCCCCAGTGTTCCTCTTGCCCTGTGAGCACAGGACGGGGGTTTGATGACCTTGCCTTGCCTTGCACATGACACAGCTGGATACAGAGAGCCCCTCCACAGCACCTGAGGGACAGGGGAGACCACAAGAGCCCTCCTGGATGATAAACCAGCTTCTGGAATGGCAGGGCTGCGTAGAGTCAGCTCAGGCTGTGTTCAGGTGGCTCTGTGACCGCAGGACCTTCCTCTTGCTGGGTTTTTTTTGGACTCTCCAGAGCTGCCGACTTCCTCCGTGGTGGGGAAGAGCTCAGCCCTGTTTACTAGGGACTGGGGTGGCTTAGAAATGAGGTGGCAGGTCATGGTGCCCTAAATGTGGGGTACCAAGGCCAGGGAAATGGCTTGCTGGGGGCTGTGTGTTTTGCCAGGAATGCTGTTTCCACCTGAGCAGAGAGCAGGGATGGAGTGGAGGGCCTGGGAGCCTGGACTTGTCATGTGGGCACCAGGGACTGCTCAGGCTGCAGCAGGGCTCTCCTTCCGTGGTTGGACCTTCACTCCAGCAGGCTCTTGGCCCTCACCTCCCTCTGGCTCCCAGCCCAGCTGTCCTCGTGGCACCTTTCCCATCCTTGCTGGCAGCATCCTGCCCAAGGGAAGCAGGAGGAGGGCACAGGAGCACGCAGGTAGGGAGCAGCACGGAGTGTATCTGTGTCCTGGCACCTCTTCCCTCCCCTCCGTGCTCTCTGGCAGTGCCAGCAGGGACCCAGAGAGGTCCCTACAGCTGGGTCCTGCTCCTGCTCCCCGGCTGATCGTTTGCCTCCTGTCCGTGCCGGTCCGTCCCCCTCCCTCCACAACCGATGTCCTAAAAAACAGCAACCAGGGTTTCTCCTGCTCTTTGCGTAGCTCTGCTGTCCCTGGGGGTCTCTCCGGGGTGGGCGATGCTGGGGTGGGGCGGTGGGGAGGCAGTTTCTCCGCCTCTCAGCATCTCGAGTGGGCGGGCGGGCTGGGGCGGGGAGATGGGCTCACCCCCTCCCACCCTTCCACCCTTCCACCCCCTACCCGCCGGGATTCACCCCGGGGGGGGATGGAGGCAACCAGGAGGGGAGGGACCCGTCGGGGCGGAGTGCCGCGCCCCTGCCCTGCCCACGCGTGTGTCCCGGGGGAGCGGGGGCAGCGCGACCCCCGCCGCCTCCCGCTCTTTGTCTGCGCCGCGCCCCTGCGCCCCCGCTCCCCTTTGTTGGCCGCCGAGCGCTCGGAGGGGCTCGGTGTGTCCCCCCCTCTCCTTGCCGGGGTCGAGCCGAGGGGCGGAGGGAGGAGAGGAGGAGGAGGAGGGAAGGGGGGAACACGGGCGGGGAAGCTCCGGGGCGCGGGGCGGGCGCTCCGGGTCCGCTCCGTTGTCTTGATGCTGCGCGGCCCCTTCCCCGCGCGTGGGGCGGGCGGAGACCGCCGGGATTAGGGGATCCATCCCCTCATCCACGCGTTCACCCACCCACCCATTTACCCGCCCGCCCGCCCAGGCAGCTCCCATCGCTCCCCGCAGCGCCGCTCCATGCCGGGCTCCACGCGGAGCCGGGATCTCTCCGGGAAGGGCTGGCATGTCCCAGCGGCGTGAGGCGGCGAGCCGGCCCCCTCCGGGGAGGGTGCCCGTGCCGAGGGGGCCGAGGAGGGCTGTGGTGGCCCCTCGCTGCTCGCCGGAGGATTGGGAAGGTGCCGGGGAGCTGGCGGAGGAGGGTCGGCGAGGGAGCGCGGAGCGGAGCGGGGATGGATGTGCCGCGGCCGTGAGAGGAGCCTTGCCGTGGGAAAGGGAGTGTCTGCCTTCGGCCGGAGCGTGGGACAACTGAGCCGGCACCTTCTGGGCTTCTGCTCCCGGGATCTTGGGCTGCTGCCCCCGGAATTTTTGGCTCCGAGGACCTGCGGAGGGTCGGAGGCTGCTGGACGCGGGAGCACCTGTCCCGGAGGAGAGCGCGGACGGCGGGGGAAGCTCCGTGTTTCTGGAGCAAGGATCTGAGAGCTGAGAGGCGGCTGCCCGGGGTGGTCAGACCCCCTGCCATCCCTGCCGAGAGGATATGGATTTTCCAGATGCTGCGAGCCTGAGGAGAGGGGTCCCGTGCTGACCCCCTGTCCCTGTCCCAGCCCCGCTCCCGGGAGCCGGCGCCTGTTGGTGCCGTTCCCACACCAGCACCGGCTCGTCCCCGTCCCGGTGGGCTTGGCCGTGGAACTTGAGCTCTCTCAGCGCTGGGGTTGTTGTTTTTTTCTGCAGGCAGGTGTGGATTGACACCTTCCGGGCTGGCAGAGGGATTGCTGAGCACGGGAGCGGCGCACGTCCCTCTGGAGCGGGCTCGGACCTCACCCCAGGCTGTGCCTCTGGGATATGGCAGCCGTGGGGACAAACTCCTGCCCCTGAAGGTGCCCCCCCAGCCCGCCCTGCCCTCCTGCGAGCCGAGATGGGAACCTCTGGGAAAACTTAGGTTTTCCTGAAGACGCCCGGGGAGGGGAGGGAAGAGGGATCCATGTGAGCCTCGTGGCTGCCGTGCCGTGGATGGATGGACGGACGGTGGGCTGAGCGTGGTGGCCCAGCATGACAGCCTGCCAGTACCCCATGGCGCCGGGGGCCCTGGAGCGGGACCGGCTGTACCAGCACAAGGTCTCCTTGGTGGTGCGGTACTTCATGATCCCCTGCAACATCTGCCTCATCCTCCTGGCCACCTCCACGCTGGGATTTGCCGTGCTGCTCTTCCTCAATAACTGTAGGTGTCCCCCGGGCGGGCGGGAGGCCGGGGAGGGACAGGCAGGGACAGGCAGGGCTGGGGTCAGCCCGGGCTCCCAGCGCTGCCAGCTGGGCTTCACCGGGGAGCTCAGCGCTTGCCTGCTGCTGCCTGGGGAGGATGCAGGGAGGTGACAGCTTCACAGCTCTGCCCCACTTTCCCCTGCCGTGATGTTGGCCCCGAAGGGTGGAGCGGAGCTGGGAGGGCGGGTGTGCGTGGGCCGGCCCAGCTCCCCCCCTGCACGGTGCTCTGAGCTGTGCCAGCACCCGGGGTGTGCCCTGTCCCGGCCCCAAAATACTGTGTCCTGCTGTGCTGCCTGAGGTCCGAGTGTGGGGGATGCTCTGGGGGGATGCAGCCAGCCCGTTTGGGAGCTGGGGATCTCGGCAGGGCTCCTGGGAGTGCTGCCCTGGCCAAGGACTGCTGCTCCCCTGTTCCAAGCTGGACCTTGGAGCCCTGTCACTATATATAGGTGGGAATGTGTCTCCCTGGCTCCCTGCTCTTTTGCTCTGAGGAATAAACAGAGGGTTTGGGGCAAGGTGGGGGAGTTTTTTCCCTGAGGTTGGATTGTTTAACTGATCCCTGCTGTGGCTGAGGAGATCCCACATTTGGGCGTGGATACATCCACGTATTGCTGCTGTGCTCTGTTACCTCATCCTTGCACAGGTGCTCATCTTTCCCTAGGCACAGCCTGTGGAGGAGTGTTCCATCATGCAGCGGTGTCTTTGACCTCCTTGATGCTGGAAAGTGCCAAACACCTGCTGTGAGAAAAGCCTTTAGAGGGCAGGCAAATCCTCCAGCCTGGCTTTGGGATGCGCTGCCTCCCCTGGAGGGGAGCGTTGTTTGGGGAAAAAGCTCTGTGGAAAACTGTCAAACACACGGATGCATTTACAAAGGCTGGCAGGAGCAAGGCCCAGGTGACAGAGCGGTGCCACCTCTGTCACAGCCTGGCTTTGCTGCCCTGGGCACATCTCTAATAGGAGCAGAGCCCAGCTGGACACTGGGTTTAGGGTGTTCCTCACCCAGGATGGGAGAGTCTGTGGAGATCTGAGTGGAATCTTTCTCACCCCCTTGCTTAGTCAGACATAGAGGGCTGGCAGGTGGCAAGGCTGTGCCACCTTCCTCTGGGACCTACAGTCATACCCATGGGAGTGTTCACCTTCTGCTGCCCCAGGCTACCCCTTTCCCCCCACTTTTTGGAGGCCCTGCTCAACCCACATGACCCGGTGAGTCCATGCCCGGGTGTGTGTGAGGGGAGACACGGCAGGATTGGCATCACAGCCCCCGTGGGATGGCACGGGACGGGCTGAGACAAGCCCCAGCCCTGCCAGGCACAGAGGGCTGCTCCCAGATCCCACGCCAGAGATGCTCCATCGATACCAGTGGGAGAGCTGGGGCTCCTGGATCCCGTTCCTGCCGCTCCCTTCTCGCTGCGAGACCTCCCGGCTGTCCCTGGGAGTCGAACTCGCGTGTGAAGGGCACGTGGAAGGGATGAACTGCTGGTCCAAAAGCTGTGGACAGAGATCTGGGAGGAAGAGGAGGAGGAGGAGGAGGGAGCATCCAAAGGGACCTGCTGACAGTTTTTTTGTTTCTTTGCAGACAAGCCCAACAGTTACTTCACTCAGACGCCGCCGACGCCGCGGGATGGTGAGTACAGCTCCCTGCTGGAGCCCAGCCCTGGCCTTGGGATGCACTGGAGAGCAGGTTGAGCCTCTCCTGCCTCCTGCAGCTGCTGGGGGAGCAGTGTCTCCTGACCCACTGATCTATTTTTGCAGCTGCCTGGCTGCTCTCTGTGCCCAGAGCAGTCCTGCATCGCAGCCTTGCCCCTGCTGAGGGATGCGGGATCATCCCTCCGGGATGAGGAGAGGACAGAGTGATGTCCCTCGTTGCTCCATGGAAGCACAGCAACCCTTTTCCTACAGAGGGTTTCCTGGCTGGCTGTGGTAGAAGTGGAGAAGGGCTGGAAAGGGTCCTTCCCAGGAAGAGCAGAGAAGGGATCCAGGATCATCCCTCCAGGATGAGGAGAGGTGTCCCTCATTGCTCCATGAAAGCACAGCAACCCTTTTCCTAATGAGGGTTTCCTGGGTGGCTGTGGTGGAAGAGGGGAAGGGCTGGAAAGGGTCCTTCCCAGGCAGAGGAGGTGGGACAGCACCTGAGACACGAATTTTCCCTGGATCTGTGATCCTTGCCTGTGGATTGCCTCTCCCCTATGGATTCCTGAGCTGTGTTCTCACCAGCACCTCACATCATTGCTCAGGGCTTACTAAAACCTTCTGATTTCACAGACCTGGAGGAACTTTGTGTTTTTTTTGAGGCCAGGCTGTTATCAGCCAGTGGCTTTAAAGGCTGTTGGATGCAGGCAGGCAAGCCCAGGCTAAGATAATGTCATCACAGGAGCTTTGTTTCCTCAGAAAAATCAGGCTTAAAATGCCCTGCCTTTCCTGGCAGGCTCTTGAGCCACCTTCCCCAGCCTCCCCAGCTTCACTTGCAGAGATAAGAACCCAGCAGAAAACAGCAGCCAATTAATAACCTGTTTGTTGCTTTTTTTCTTGCCTTCTCTGGTTGGGGGCGGGGGAAGGAGGCGGGGGGGGGGAGAAACGGATGCGAGATAAAATGTGATTAATCTATAATTGGACCAGAGGAGACATCTAAAGCCAAAATAAAAACTCACGTAGGTGGAACTCCTAGCTCAGGGCTCCAAAATATTAACAGCCCAGCCCATCCAGATGCCACACTCCAGAAGATCCCTGGTCCCCCACAGGAGATGGAAAACTACCACCCTTGGGAGGCTGCCAAGTGAGGCACCTCACTTGCAAGTCTCTGTGTGGGGTAAATGCCTCGTGTGGCCTTTGGGAGGTGTTTTTGGGGGCACAGGGGGCATGGGGAGAGGGTCCCTCTTGGGGTGAAGGGGCTGGTTCTGCTGTGCTGGAGGGACTGGCTGGTCTGTGCCAGCTGAGGGTCCACAGCTTGGGATTTGTGCCTGCCAACCCTGCTGCTGGGGAGGTTTGCTGTGGTCCTTTCCCCTCCCTAACGGTGCTGCAAAGCTGGACAGAACCGTTGTCTGTCCTGGCAAAGTCAGAGCTCAGTTTTTGGGTGAAGGAAGTGGCTTTCTACGCCTTGGGCATCTCTTGTGTCAAGTCCCTGTTGCTGCCCCAGTGCTCCAGTGGTGCTGGAGGTGACAAACTTTGCCAGCCAGCAGGGAAGTGTCTCTAATTAGCATTAGCTGTGCCAGGGGAAGTTTAGGTTGGATGTTAGGATTAGGTTCTTCACCCCAGGCACTGGAACAGGCTCCTCAGGGCAGTGATCACGGCCCCAAGGGTGTTTGGACAACACCCTCAGACACGTGGTGGGGTTGTTGGAGTGTCCATGATCCTTGTGGGTCCCTTCCAACTCGGGTTATTCCATGTGTGCTTCTCTGATTTGTGTGCTATTTACCTCTTCCTCTCTACAGTAGAAAACCCGTCAGCCACACATTGATTTATGGAGTGGTCTCTGCTTCGTTTGGAAACAAGGCCATTAATGCTGTTAACTCGCTGCTTTCTCCCAAATCTCCAGTGCCTCTGGCATTCCCGGGGATTATTAGGCTGGATAGAGTCTTGAGGCCTGGCTGACTGAACTGCAGTGCTCCATGAAAGCTGCTGCCTTGTCCCCAGCTCAGGGACTGGCCTGGGGCACCCAAGCTGGATAATTCCTCTCCTCCCTCCCTGCTGGAGCATCTGGGAGCAGGAGAGGGGGCGGATGTTGGCTCAGCTGCCACCCCCCAGGGCAGCAGGAGGGGGCTGGCAGGTGCGGGCAGGGGGCAGGCAGGGTGGGCTCTGCCTTCCCAGCGTCCCCTGAGGGGGGAAAGGAAACGGTGGGGGAGGATTTGGAGGGTTCCTCCCTCCCCTCTCCTTGTTCTTGGCTTTCTGTTTGTTCGCAGCGTCCCTCGGTGGTTGGGAGGCAGGATTGCTGGGCAGGTTTGCTCTGGGGAGGGCAGGGAGAACAGGAAAGCCTCTCTGAGACCTGCTGAGAGCTGGGCTGGCTGCTTGGGGGGGTGTCCATAGGATGAGGTGCCAGGCTCTTGGGGTCAGATCCTTGTTATCCTTCTCTTCCTGCCACCCTTTTCCTGCTGCCGGGGGAAGAATTGCCCTGAGCTTACAAGTTGTGTAAGGTGCTTCCCTCCCCTTCCCTGCTGTGCCCTCCCCACCCCTGGAACTGTCCAAGGCCAGGTTGGAGCAGCCTGGTCTGGTGGAAGGTGTCCCTGCCCGTGGCAGGGGGTGGAATGAGATGGGTGTTAAGATCCCTTCCCACCCAGACCATTCCATGTGATTCCATGTGTGCTGAGGGCTGGGGCTGGGTCCCACCTCAGGACACATTTGTGCTGTCCATGACCTCCTCCTGCTGCTGAAAATAACAGGGAGAAAATACAGGGAGACAGCTTTGGGCCTTTGGTGTCTCACTTTTGCCCAGGTGGCTCTGGGCAGCTCAGTGCCTGCTCAGTGAAGGGGGGACTTGGCTGCCCTGGGAGAAGAGGCATGAAAATAGAACTTAAAATAAAGCCCAGGCTCTTCAATCTCGTTCCCTTTGTGTGCCGTGGTGCTGGAATATCCTGCTGGCTTTGGCTGCTGCTCCCAGCCTGTTTCTCTGGTGCCACAAGCCAACAGAAAAAAACTTGGATGCCACGGAATGAATTCCCAGCGCCGGCTTTGTGGTGGGGCCGATCCCAGGGAGTGCAATGGGAAGGTGCAGCAGATCCAGCTCTTTTTTAGCTGCCCACAGGTGCATTTTGCAGCCCCCTCGTGTTTGCTGACCCTCCCTGTGCTCTCTTCCTTTTGTATCCATGCTTTTCCCACCCCTTGCTCTCCCCCAGACGTGCAGGAGCAGGGAAGGGTTTGCACGCCCTGCCCAGCACCTCTCACGGCACTGGGGACGCCCATCCCGAGGGGAGACAGGCACATCCCGAGGGGAGACAGGCAGATCCCGACCATTCCTGAGTTCTGGTGGCATTCCTGCCCCTCTGGCTGTGCCAGCTGGTGGGTGGCTGGGGCGGTGCTGAGCGAGGAGAGATTGGGAGCGTCGGAGCGTGGCGGGGAGTCTGTCACACATCACAGCATGGGGAAAAAAAAAAATCACTCCCTCTCTCCGCACAAGGTGAAATTTTTTTCGTACCTGGCTGCTCATTTTGTGAGCAGCTGCTCACTTTTAATTACACGGTGCCTACTCCCCCTCCTCTAAGGCCCCGCTGAACGACGACCTCCTGCTCAGGGGGGTGATGCAGGGTGCTCCCCTTCCAGCATCCCGGGTGATCCATGCCTCCATGGTGAAGCCACCCACCCCATGGAAGGGCCCAGCAGTGAAGTCACCGTGATTCCATCACATTTTTGGCTTCCCCTTCCGTGTTTCCTGCTCACACCCTACGGCAGTGAGGTGACATCTCAGGAGCCAGGAGTGGGGGCTGCTCGTGGAGCCTCATCCCTGTGCACTTATCCCTTATCCCAGCCTGGCTTTCCCTGCCTGGATTTGCCCCCCCCTGAGCCCCACAGCACAGTGGGGCTCCAGCCAAACCAGCTTTGGGGTTGCTCTGGGGAGAGGAGAGGTGCTAAACATAGCTCTCCAAAAGCAGGGGGGGGGAGAGGGGGTGCAGCAGTTATTTAAGACACCACTTTTGATCTCCTGAGAGCATTTTCTTCTCCATTCACAGCAAGGTTTGAGCTTTCTCCTGGGGATCAATTTGTGCACTTTCATGTTATGTGGTGGTTTAAGTGGGAGAGGAGGAGTAGATGGGAGAACTGCTAAGGTGGGCCTGCTTTTCCCTGGATTGGGCCCTTGCTAAGGTTAGATCCTGAAGCTTGCCTCGCTCTCTGCCTCACATCTCCCAGGACTATCCCTCTGGGATGCAGCTGCTCTGTTTAATGCTTTGTGTGAAGCACAGAGGGAGAGAAAGGACATGAGGAGGCACAAAGCTGGCTGAGACACCCAGGGGACAAAAAATCTCCTTGCACAGAGCCCCAGTGGACCTTGCAGGGCACTGGCAGGGCCTGGAAAAGGTTGGCCAAGGACGGTGTGGTGGCTCTGCCGAGTGCTGGTGTTGGACCTGCTGCAGCTGGGGAGGAGCTGTGGTTCCCCCCAGGCATCCAGGGGCTGCTGCAGCCCCCCTTCCCTCTCCAGGATCTCTAATCTCCCCAGATTGTAAACACTGCTTTGCACAGCAGGCAGGTGGGAGCAGGTTAAAACCTCCCAGGTATTTTTTTCCCTCGCCTCCCTCCCTGCGTGGGCAGGTCCCTGCTCTTGGCTCGTGCTCCCTGGTGGGTTTTGGGGGTCTGTGTGTGCTGGGGTGTGCAGGGAGGGCAGCAGGACCCTGCTGACAGGGCTGGCTGCTGGCTCACATCCCGTGTGGAGCGTGTATCCAAACTGTCCCCGTGCCCAGTGGGGGCTGATGAATCCTGCAGTGACTGGGAGCCGTGACAGTCTGCCCAGAGCTGCTCTCACAGGGGCTCCTGACAGATTAATGAGAGCCTTTTTAGATGATGTTTGGTTTGCAAGAGTGAATTTGATGGTTTTAGACCCCAGAACACGGGGATGCTTCCAACTCCTCCCTTCTCCTTCCCCGTGCTCTCTCCCATCTCCCTGCCTGCTGCACATGAATTGTCTTTCAGATCTTTCCACTG